TAAAAACATTAGTGATTATAGAAACTCGATATTAAAAATAAAATTAATCAAACTTTCTAAAGAATTAAATGGAAAACTTAAATCAATAGATAAATTTCTTAATTCCAGAGAAATAGAATTAGAGAAAGAAACAATTGAACTTTCCAATTTAAGAAACGAATATTTATCTATTAAAAACTCAAGTATGGAAATTGAATCAATATCAAAAAATAAGCTTAATGAAAACATGGAAAAAGAACTGTATGAAAATATAAACAAAATTCTAGAGCAAGGCAAAAGTTTGATATTAAAATTAAATGTATTTAAAAAGATTTATAAATAAAATATTTTATTTAAAATATTTACAAACTTCCCTATAAAATTCATCATTAACATTCAAACTATAAAGATCATTTTGTTTCTTAATAAATTTGTGTTTAATTAAATTATTTAAAATACTTAATAAAGAAGTTCTATTCTTTAAATCTTTGTTTAAACCTTTAATTTCATTATAAAGAGTATTAAACTTAAGACCTCTTACTAGTGAAAATATTACAATCAACTCATTGTCATATAAAGCAATGTATTTATTGATATCAATCTTATCATACTTTATACTAGTCAATGAATTCATTTTGTATTGTTCATACAAATGTTTATTATTAATAATTAACTTTTTATCTTTATCACTGATTTTAAACTGATAAGGAACAAACCTCAAATCTCTTATATTTGAAAAAAGTATAATTTTAGAATTATCATCAAACTCAAAATCATCAGTATCTTTTAATAACAAAGTTAGTTTCTTTAACTGTTTAAAATTAGATGTAAAAGCTCTATTAAATGAAATGTTATTAATTGTTAGAACATACTCAAGTGTTTCTACTGATTCGAGTGAGAATACCTGTATCTGAAAGTACTTTTCTTCATTTATTATTTCTATCAACTTGTCTAATGAATCAAAACTAGCTTTCTTAAGATCAATCTTTCTTTTCATTTATAAAAGAATTTTATTAATTTCTAATAAATTAGTAATTCATTTAGAACTTTCAAATGATCTTGATCAATATTGTCTTTATGAAATTCTAAAAATTCACCTGTTTTATCACTTCTGATTGTTTTAAGAATAACATAACAGATATAAGAAACTTCACATGGTTTATCCATTATAAAGACAAATTCATTAAAAATATTCTTAACTGACTTAACCAATCCTAATTCAGAATAAGCACTAACACTCAAAGATGCTAATATATAGGTATGATAAGGATTGTTTTTAATGTCTAGCTTTTCTAATATTACAGTATTATAAGTATAATCCCAATCTAAAAATCTACAAATAGTTCTTACTAAAGATACAGCTGTGTTTACATCATTATTAAACCTTCTGTTTTCAAAGTCAATAATATTTACATAATTAAGTTTAAGTAACTTATCTAGTAGTTCATATAAATTTTCATTAGGTTGTTTAATTGATAAATTATTTTTAATACGATTTATATTCTTTAATATGTTAGAATTCTCATATAAATTCATATCTAAATTTAGTAGATGATAAAAAAGACTATTCAATACTTTTAATATTAAGTCTCTTGATGACAATTTAGATAAT